CTCATTTTAATCAGACATTTCCGGGCTACAACTGCAACTCATTAAGAAGAGGTTTCAGTTAGTTTTAAAGTTTCTGAAAAACTGGTTTTCCAGAAAACCGGGACTTCAAGAGCCCTCCGCAGAAACCCATTTAGGCTTTTTGTCAGCTCGATGCCCTCTATCAACTGAGGTATGAACGAAGAAAAACGGAGAGTATCACCTCGGGCGGTTCCCTCGTTAGAAATTTTTAGTTAATAGATTAACTATTTGTGTTTGTTGTCCCGTTTTTTAGTTATCCGTTTCAGCGTCTGTTCGATCATGGGATCTAATTAAAATAATAAGTTTATTAAATTTTGTGTTTTGTTGCTGTATCTCATTATTTGGATTATGTCTATTTGGTTTAAACATCGGTGGTTTATCTATATTCTTCTTTATGTTAGCTGAGACTGTTTTATTGTCATTAAATGTTGTTCATATATTAGCCAAATATTGTATGCATTTATACACGTTACGACAACAACAAATAACTACTTCATCTACAGTAAATAGTAACAACAATGAAAATCGTTTATTAATTACCTACTATTGTGAATTTATCTTTGATATCTTAACACTCAGCATTGATATATGTTATCATTTACAAATGTTGTTATACTGCAATATATTTTTAAGTATGGCATCTTTGGTAATTTGTATGCAGTTAAAACCATTGATCGATGAACTAATGCAACGTATTAAACGACACAATTTATATCGAGTAGCAATGTTGAAAATGGAACAAAAATATCCGTTATTAACAAAACATGAGTTAGGAGAAAAATTTAAAAAAAATAATAATTATTCACCGGATGAAGTCTGTTCTATTTGTTGGGAAAAATTTGAAAAAGCAAGATGTTTACCATGCAAGTATTTTATTTCATTATGATAATAACTGATATAAAAAATCTACATATGACATTGTATGTTCTTTAAGTATAATATGTGAGAAAAGATAAAATGAGTTCTCTATTTAAACGTTGACATCACCGAGAAAGCGACCACCAATTATCTCACACTTAAGCCCCCATCCCCCTCCCTCGGGTCAGAAATGCCGATTTTCTTCAGAAATATCGACTTTAAGAAAAGCACATGGCTGGATAGCCTATAGTGTCTACTTTCTAATGACATAATTTTTGTGTCGATAGGATAGGTTTTGAGCGAGTTTTCCAGAAACCCCATAGCAAAAAGAATGGATTTTTTGCACTTGTATTGCATAAGCGAAGGCACGCGTCACACATGTTCATTAGATTCGTTATGGCCGATAACCTATAGCAAAATATCAACAAATTGTTTAACGCTCAAAGAGTTTTTAAGAAAAACGCATTTAACAGAATCAAAATTTATTTTTACGTTTTTTTTAAGACTGCTTTTTAGCTTCAGGGCTTTCGCCACGTGCAGGAATTCTCGGTAACGGTACATCGGAGAAAGAATTTTTTGTTTTGTTTTGTAGATAACACCTATAGATAGGTATTTACTGCAAAACAAAAACAGCCCGAGCTCTGTATCATTTACCTGGAATGAAAATTCTTGCACGCGGTAGACGCCTTGTTGTGGCGCCCTCCCACGAACAGTTGCAAGTGGTGCCAAAAAATAAATTTCGTTACCACACTTTGACATGGTCAACATTCCCTGAGAGTTTGGTTCAGATCAGACCTACCTGGACTGAGATAGGTTTCTGACATTAACCGACTCATTCTAAATGAATCGATGACGTTTTTATGCATATTACCGCAGAGGTTATGAACTTTTCTCTAAACATCGTTTGTGTTTTTTAGGCGGACATTTATTTCATCAAAATTGTCTTCGTAGTTGGTTAGAACAAGATCCATCTTGTCCTGTATGTCGATTACCACTTCATGATGAAACGACTCCGTCAACTCCAACGCCAGCTGTTCCCAATGTTCCACCTCAACCAGCAGCTAGCTTTAATTTATTTTGGCCATCGTTTACAGTTGGTGCGAATGCTAGAACAGGTCAACAACAAGAAACCCAACCCACCACGGATAATATTGTGCCACGTCAACGTAATCATTTATTTCGTTTCGATGGTTCACGATATGCCTCATGGTTACCCAGTTTTAGCGTCGAAGTTACTCATACACACAATTTTCCATTTCGATTTGGTCGTCAAAGATTATCAACTACACAACTCAATACTATAGCACAAAATGTCCAACAAATATTTCCTCAAATACCCTATGATATCATTTTAAATGATTTACAACGTACACAGTCAATTGATTTGACAATTAATAATATTATAGACAGGCGTATACAAGATTTAGAAGTATTAGAACAACAAGCAGACACAACAGGAAATAATTCGGATTCATCAGATACTGATTCATTTGGATCTTTATCATCGACTTCTTCACTTTCAAGTTCAGATGTCGAAGATTCTGATACAAGACAAACAACGTGTGTAGAATACAATTCAATTTCATTTATCGAATAATTTGTGTATTTGTTCTATTTTGTAGAAATACCGATCATTCAACATTGTCTGAAACACAAATTGATAATATCTTAAGTGATCAAGAAACATATACTTGGCCACTTGATCATGGTTTACCATTATCGATTCGTAAACAACATCTTATCGCTCATATGAGACGGTAGGTATTATGTTTGATAATTTCGTATCAATATTTCAATTATTTTCTTTTTTGTTTTATTTCAGATGTTATGTTAAACGTGAACGTGATCAACTTCAAATAAAATCAGATGTATTATTGCCATCATGACGAATTTTCAACAAAAATATAAGATCAAAATATGTTGAACTTTTCTGTATTTTTTTCTGCACAATGTAGGCGATACTTTTTCTGTGTACATAGATGTTGTTTTCGTTAAAGAAACAGTAGGACTTTTTTTTATTATTATTAAATATACGAATTGTGCATGGATTTTGTGTATCAATTATTTTAACTGTCTTTCAGGTTCTGTCATTATACTGAGACATTCATTTCCATATGCATTAAATTTTTATCATCAACAAGAAGACGTTTTGAAAAATATATCGAACTAATTACTACTGTTAAATTTTTTTCTATTATTCTTTGTTTTACGTTGTTCTCTCGCTCTTTTTCGTGTGAATACTTAATACTCATATGCTCTATAGTTTGTCCACATTTGCAATAAAAATACAATAAATATATATATTTTTTGTGTGTTACATTTGAATTGATGTATTTTTCAAACTGATCATATCATGTGGTGCTAGAATAAACGGAATCAACGAACAACTGGTTGAAAAGATATAATTTCTAATGTTACTGTATGAATGAAGTTTTACTGTGTATTTTAGGCAAAATTTACTGAAGACGGTTCTTTACTTGTTCATAATCATTTAGAAAAAGTAATTATATTTCGCTTGTATAGCAATATCTCAATATTGACCGCTGTTATTTTGTTCGTTGATAAAAAACTTCAAAACATTCTGTGATCATTTTGAAAAATGTGCTAAAAAACAATAAGAAAATAAGAAAATATAACATTGCGTTGGTAAAGTCAAGAGACTTGTATAGTCTATTCACATGTAAGCTCATAGTGGTACTTCCCAGCAATGACAACAGCAGTCGTTTGATAAAAGGAGGTCTCTTTTAACTCATTCGTACCGAAAGTTACAACTATATGAGTTTTAAATCAGCGATGATGACTTTAACGCAGATTACTTCTTGATAAGATATCAGATTGAATTTTGTTGATTAATGTCCATTGTTGTTTTGTTTTTGTCAATTTTAATGAAGTTTTTTGTTTCGAAGTTCGTGGTGTTGGTATTTTTTATTATGAATTAATCGTGCAAATTGTTCAAATCAACAGCAATATATAGTAAGCAGAAAAAGAAAGTGAGAAGCATTTTTAATTTTTTCTTAACCAATACATCGCTTCCTCAAATTTTACTGTACTTTATTGTCGCATATATTTATTTCAAGGAAAAAAAGGCTAAAAGAATTTTTTTTTGCCAAATCTCAGAGATGTACTGTTTTTTTACATACTTATTATTGAGTTTATGCCAGATAATAAGCAAGCCCGAGCAACTACTAGATGATTCAGTACGAAGTACACCATTCGCCCGACTAACAGTGCATAATCACATAAAAACTGAAGTTTTACTCAGGTGTTACCCTTAGGATATCCTAACTTTATTAATACTGCTGAGCAACAAGTACACATTTTCAACCGAATCGGAGTATGCCATTATAATTAGAATTATCGACTCTGTATCACTAGATATCATCCGAGTTTCGAGATCTGCGTTGATCAATTTTCAACAACTGAACTAACAACGACCAACGGTCCTGTTTTAATTTAGTCTGCATCTGACGAATTAACTATGTGTTATACAACAACTATCAATAGTTTTCAAGCAAATATATTAACAATTAAAGAAATAATTCAGATGAAATGATGATAAAATTAAATATTATGTTTAATGAATTGATGTAAACGAAAAACATACAGAATATTTTCACAGTTAGAACGAGTGTTTAACTATTTTTACTTTTGTGAATTAGTTTTATTCTTTCTTTAAAAAATTAGAAGCAACTAGAATTGTTTGTTTTGATCAAGTTTTTGGATATAGCGGATACAGCAATATAATTCGATATGCATCTCTTCAAACAACTTTCTTTGCTTAGAAGATTTATCTAATCTTATTGTTCACGGATCATCCTTTTTCCTATTATAAACAATTGAAAAATGACTCGTTGACAAACCTTTTGCATCGAGTATAGGTCGAAAAAATTAGATATGAAAGTCAATATTTTTATATGTATTGTTGTCTTCAGCCCTTGTCGCGGATGTATTGTACAACTCATCCACAAGGTCCTAACATCACTCTTTGCGGTAATGGGAAAGCGCCCCTGGAGTACTGGTAGCCTATGTTGTCTTGTTTTAGCGCCAGTTTCCCCAGAAATGGGATTTTAAACTTTTATGGTTATGGAAAAAGAAACAAAAAATTGTGGAATTCGAACACTTTTTGCATTCTCCGAATGCGCTCAAAAACTCTTCATTCTTTGAGTGACCTTAGACCTGGACAACACCCTCATTTTTTATAGCTATGTTTCTTGTATCTTCGCCTTGCACCGATATTCGGTAATTTGTCTTTAACAATCTTATTATAAAAACTTTCATATATTCAATTTTGAAGAAAAATCATTATTTGCTATCTTGATTTTTTTAGATGACTGATAATCGTGTACGTATTTGGGCCAAAGCTGAACCATTTACATTTGGTGCTCTCAATTCTCCACCACCGCCCGAAATTTCTTCATCGGTAATTAAATAATAGAAATTAGACTTTTTATTATGAATCGTTGAACGTTTGACTATTTTTAGAGTTTGAAAGGAATAGTGAAATATATGAAAAAGAATGAAAAATGTGGTTATCCAAAAATGAAGTATGTTTTTAATTTATTCTTTTTCAAATGTAACTTAGTTTTATTTGATTCTTGAACCTTCACTAGTTTAATTATTTGTACAAAAATTTAGAACATAAGATCGGTAACAATTTACTTGAACGGTTTATTTTTATTTATTTCTTCTTTGTTTTAGTTATATTTTGTGGCGTCATATCGCTTGTCAAAAGTTGCATATGAGTGAAGAACTGGCATGGATGTATGTTCAATTGCTTTTTTTCTATTAGACATTTTCTCAAGGGATACAAAACTGATCTGAAGAGATTTTAACAAGATTTTAAAAGATATGAGGAGATTTTAGAGATTCAAATCAGTTTTTCCTCCTTGCATTATCTATTATGAAAAGAATATAATTTTTCTTATTTTTAGGTATTTTGAATCGTATAGTTTATTGACAAATGGTGGAAATGCCAAGCGTACACAATTGGATGCTCAAATGGCAAAAGCAACGACATCGGCAGAAATTGGTAGCAAGATATAGATTGATTTGTTAGCTCTATTCTTGTTACTTTTTTTCTTCTTGAAATAGAAAGATCGAAAGATTCAAGAAAAGTGGACAGTTTAGCATTTGTCTTGCTGTTATTTCTACAATCATTTCATCATATTGATTTAAAATCGACATTGTCACGTGATGAGTATGTATCTATCAAATTTATCTATACTAGAAACACTTGTAGAAGAAGATATAATTTAGGTGGCCAAATCGTAAACGAGGTTCAGTCATTGATGCCAGAAAAAATCGAGTACGTTCATAGAATGATAAATTATTTTTTGTATACAATAATCAATATAAACTATTTTTAGATTTATGATGAACAAACACATCAATTATTTATTCAAGCTCATTTAGATGATATGTTAAATATTGTTGCTGATACAGGTAAAATGATCAATAGTAAAACAAATATTTGTTTATCATATTATTTTATTATTTAGAACAATATAATGAAATAGCACAAGCAACATTGAGTTTAGAAGCTGTTACGGCTCTTAGTTTTATATTTGAATGTTCATTAAGCGAGAATCATACCAAATTGTATCCATTACAAGCGTTAATGAATTATAGATTTATTCAAGATGAAATTGGAATGTCGACTGTAGGGGTAAGAACCAATTTTATCATCTATTAAAATGATCAATATTATCTAAAAATAGTGTATAAAATGGCAGTATATAACAAAATTTATTACAATGAAAATGAATGAGAATATTTCTTTTTTTTTTTCTAGAATAATTCTGTTGTACCATTCAAAGGATTATCGAATCTAATACGTCGTTCACTCATTTCAAATCCGTTTCAAGTTGGACAAACAATGAAATTAGGCACATTATTACCATTGCCATTCGACAGTAAATAATAATTCAAATTTGACTATTTTATTTAAAAAATATATTATTTTGTTAAGATCCAACTCATGAACAACGATCGGGAAGAGTATTATGTAATTCAAATTTTGCTGATGAACAGTAAGTTTAATATAATAGTACATATGAATTATTTTAATGATTTTCTTCTCTATATTTCTTCTAGACATCGTTTTGTTCTTATGACAATGATTAATCGATCGTTGAATGAACAAGTACAAAAACAAATATTTGAATTATTCATTTTAAGATTCACCATTATTTTGTTTTTAGCATTTGCCGAATGTATTTATGGCTGAATTTCGTATTCACCGTTGTAGTTATTCCTATATTTATATTTATGCACCACTTCGGTAATAAATCTTAAATAGATTTAAATAGATGCAAAAAAAATGAATGGTTTATTTTAGATGTGTTGAAATTCGAAAATGTCATAATGTAACAATTGTATTTGGTTCAATTGAAACAACATTGAAAATAACAGATTGTGAAAATGTATCAATATCAGCTGTTTGTCGACGACTTGTTATTAGGTAATAATTAAAATAAAATAGAATTTTATTTTTAAATTAATATATAACATTTAAATTTATTTTTAGTCAATGTCGTTCATCATCATTTTATATTCTTACACCAACTCGTCCACTTGTACAATTAAATTGTTCAAATTTATTATTTGCTCCTTATAATACATCCTATATTAAACTACCAGAACATATGGAAAAAACAGGATTATGTAAAGATTTAAATTTATGGAATAAACCACTTATTACACATCCAGCAGGTATGTTTAATATACACATACTCATGTAAAATTACAAAAAATGTTTTTTAATCATAAAAGAAAAAGAAAATTTCTATTCTATCATATTGTTTAGGATATCGTTCTGATTTACAATCTGGTGAAAAAAATTTGACCCTAGATGATTGTTGGTCATTGATGAATCCTGATGATTTTTATCCAATAAGTACCATACGTTCAGAAGATCAACAAAAAGTAATATAAAATATATATTATCTATTATTTATTTTTAATTAATAATTTTCTTTTTTTTCTTTTAGGATTGTTTTATTCCATTACCTATTGAATATCAAAATGCTCTTGATAAACGTCAAAAATCAATATCATTATTAGCAAATGAAATAACAGATGCTCAATTAAATCAAGAACAACGACAACGTTTTCAACGTTTTGTTGTTACACATTTTGAATCTTGGTTAGAAGCAACAGGAAATAAAAAAATACTCGATCATTTATCTAGTCTAGTACTCAATTGAATAGCAAAAAATGTTGTTGTTTTTTTTGTTTCATTATTCTTTAATTTTTACATATATATAACAATCATTTTTATTTAAAAAATTTTTGTATCTAAATATTTCAAACTAAAAAACAAAAAAAAAAGAGAAAATAATTCTTTCTAAACTAAAAGATTAAAAAAAATATCAATCAGATATATTCAGATTTCTCTTTGTATTTATTTTTTGGGGTTTTTATTTAGTTTATTTCTATATATATATTTTCTCATGGATAAATGTGATATTTTGATCCCTCTTCCGCTCTCTTTCTCTCAACTTCTACACATGGGGTGTTTTTTTTTTTTGTTTAATGTAAATAGAGTTTGATTTTTTTTTTTTTTTTTTTTTTTTTTTAACGGTTTTTTTGACGTTAAGGTGTTATTTTGGTCAAAAAAAAATTTTTAAAATAAAAAAAA